AGGCAGCCCCGGGGCCGCGCAGCTGTGCGTCCCCGGGGGCGGGGTGTCGGGTCGCCATCCCTTGGGGACGTTCCTGAAGAGCGGAGCCTGGGGACCCATGTCTGCGCCAGCGGGTTTCACCCGGGAGGCTAGGGCTCAATGGGGACGAGGGGGTTCGGTCAGCCGTGAGGAGGACTCTGGGACGAGTAGATTCTGAGACCTAAAGTGGATTAAACAAAGGGTGTAGTTTGTTTTTGGTGGTGGTGGTGGCTCTGGAAATGAAAGATAAGACTTTTGTGACCTGGAATGGTGAGTTGCAACCCCAGAGTTTGCTTTGCCACATATTTTCTTTATATTATAGCCTTGGTCTGCGTGATGCGTCTCGCGCCTTTCCAGCGCGCTTTCGCAGCATTAATATTTTCAGCCGAAGTAAATTAATAGCCGTGGAACTTCTCAGGATAAGTATTCCACAGACTACAAATTCTGAAACAAGTTTATTTCAGTTTAGCTTCACATCGGTTGCCTCTAAGCTCTGGGAAATTCTTATAGAATTGCTGTAGAGCAATACTCTTTGCTCTCTGTCATTAAGAATATTGTAACCAGGCTAAAATTAATTGGAGTTACAAAGGGAATGTTTAGCTGTGGCAGCAATAACATAACTGAAGAATCGGCCTTCATTTTCCCTGTTTTGAAAGCAGGTCTTACATAAGGAGGGCAACGCAGTCAGTTTAGGAGCTTTGCAGAGTGACCGCTTCTATTTGAAAGCAGCTGATTCAGTTTCTAAAGATGGGGTTTTCTTCAAGAAGCCTGTCAGACTTTTACTACAATTATGGACTTTCTGTGCGCCCCTTGTACAATGTTCTGGATGTTTCTGGTATAGACCTCACTACAAGCATCATTACTATATGAAACCCTATCCTCCCCTCCCCACCTCCAAACAACACCCCGACAACCTGGGGTGAATCTTCCTCTTAGCGACGCTTCGTGAACGTGTCCTTTCAGTGGCGATGTCTGCACTGCGCTGCGTGGACGTGGGTCCGGGGGTGTCGTCACCGGCCTCTGTGCACAGGGCAGGGCTCTGTCTGCCGCTCCGACGGACTCCTGTCTGTGTGCCGGGGACACTCGGGGGCGCGTCGCTGGCTGAACTCCAGACACATGTTCTCTGGCCTGTAGGTCATCTTCTTTAAACGACTTCATTTCTAGGAGCAGTTTTCGAGGCGCAGCAGAAAAGAAGGGACAGGTTCCCCTCACACAGCCGCCTGCTCGCAGCGCCTCCACCAGAGGGCTGGTTGTTACAGTTGTGACTGCACCCACACACGTTGTCACCCAAGTCCACGCCTGACACTGCTTCACTCGCAATATTGTACGTTATGAGTTTGACACGTGTACATATGATCCCACCTTTATGTATCAGGGCGCTTCTTCCGTCCGGTTATCTCAAACCTGGCGTTGCTTCTCTCCCCGCCCCCCCCCTTACATTCAGCCCCTCTTCTGCCTTCCCCATGGTCTGCCGCGTGGGGTCTCTGTCTGCCAGTGGCTCAGAGCTGTCAGGATGAGGCCCCAGGCCCCCATGTGGACGGGGAGGCACAGCCCTCGCTGGCTCTCGTTACTTCCTGCCATTTCCCCGGGTGCTTGCAGGTGCCTGTGTGCGCCCTGTTCCCCTCCCCGCTCAGCTCTGTCACCTCAGCCTAGGCCCCCTTAGTTCCTTCTGGACTTCCACCTTGACTCGGGTGCCCTCTCACCGCGTGGCCCCTGTAGCGTGTGTATTCCCCTGAGCTGGAGGTTTCCCTGTGCTCCCCGCGCTCACCCCCCATAGGCGGCGGTCCCTGTGGGACCCTGTCTGTCTGTCCGGCAGGCAGGTGGTGCTCAGAAGGTAGTGGTCGAATGGCTGGTGCCTTCACACTGGATTCTTTTCGTTTCTGGAACATCCCTTCGCTTGCGATTGTCCTCGGTCTCTCCGTGTCCATCGGTGCCCCTCGGGCGGGGAGTTGGCTTCTCTCCACGCCTTAGTGTCCACTGAGAGCAGTTCCACGTGTGGCCCCCGCCGTGTCCCCCGACAGTGGCTCCGAGGGTGAGCCCTGCTGGACTGGAAGGGCCCGTGGCTCTCACTTCCCAGTTTCTGACTTTGAGCCCCTGGAAAGCAGGGACGGTGCCTGCTTGGCATCTCAAGGCACAGTGCAAAGGAAGGGCTTAAATAATTCTAACACCACTTGAGTCAGTGACTCAGTTTCTCCAAATATTACCAGGCGTCCTCTGTGAGGGACATGAACGGGAGTACAGTTGTGATGTGTACCACCCAGGAGTCTGCTGAATAGAGGCGATGGCAGACCTGAGGAGCAGGCGGGCCCCGCGGGAAGGGCCGGCGGGAAGGCCGGGGTGGTGAAGAGCGAGCTGCTGGAGCCATGGAGGGGAGAGCCAGGCAGGGCGAGGAAGGGCACTGAGCAGCCCCCGAGGTTTGAGGGGAGGAACCTCCCCGCCTTGTGGCTTTGGAGCCCTGGCTGCGTGGAGAACTGGTCAGGGAGGCGTTGCCTGCGCCCTGGGCGGGTGTGGCAGGAAGAGGAGAGTGGGTGGGCGCGACATGTGTTCTGGAGGCAGAGTGAACAGGACTTGCTATGGTTAGATGTGCGGCGAGGGAGGAAGGAGTCAGTGGTTTCTGGCGGGAGCACCTGCGGGTCATGGTGCTGTTTACCAAGACAGGAAAGGCTAGACGGGGGTGGGACGGGGCAGAGACAAAAGCCTGAGGTTCTGATTTGTGGAGTGGAGGCCTGAGAGCCGTCCCGCGTGGGTGAGGCCGAGGCAGCTGTGTGTGGCCACAGCCGCGGATGGGAGACAGCGTGTCCGTGTCAGCGAGAGTGGAACGCACAGGAGAAAGGGGAGAGGTGATGCCAGGGGAGGATGGAAAGGCTTGAGAAGGCGACGGGACAGGGCTGTGCAGGTCCTGTGGCGCCCCCTCCTGCCGGGAGGAAGGGGTGGGAAGAGCGCCTGCGGCTCCTGCCGGGAGCACTTGTGGTTGGTGTCGCCTCAGCTCCTCAGGTCACTCCCGAGCCTGAGCCGGCCTTCCCACGCGCTGAGGGATGCAGACGTTACTGACTGTTCCCATCCTCAGACTGACCTTCATACAGCAGCTTCTCTGGCGTCCCCTGGAAGGAAACGGCTGACAAACCCCCAGCTCCTGCCGCCCAGATAGCTGCCGGTCGTTTCTGGAGGAGGCTTCCTGCTCGCTCTGGCGCCGGCACCTCCCCTGCAGGGCCTGTTGGGGTCCTGCTGCCGCTGTCATCGCTTGCTCCTGGGGCCAGGGCGGCGGTAGGAGATGGTGGCACAGCAGGATGGCTATTGGGGGGCCGGGCGTGCGGCTGTGACTAGTCAGAGAACTTCTTCCTCAGCCAGTTAATGCAGGCGGCAGGTTCCCACATGAAATCAGACTGACAGCCCATCCGCACGTGGAAGGCAGAGCAATGGCCAGATGCTCTGAAATCGCTGGGACACGAAAGCTGAATCGCAGCTGTTCTTGTGGAGGCGGACGCTGCTTAAACTCCGTCAGAGGGGCCGGGGGATGTTCCCTAGAAAGCGGAGGGGCCAGGGCTCCTGGCGGCTGTGGCCTCTGCTTGCCTTGGTCCCTCCAGCCTGTCTTGGTGTCTGTGGTTTGGTGAAATGTTAGGCTCTTTGTAAAGCCCGTGTCGGTAAGTGCTATTCCCAGTTGAGGAATCCCTTTGCGGTTCACTGCCCTGGACATGAGTGACGTGGCGGCTGATCTTCGGCAAACACGGTGGTCGCCTGTGCGGGCGGAAGGCACCCTCATGGTCAGGCGGGAACTGGGTCTGGGGCTCCAGCGAGCTGAGCTGACGAGCCAGGCGGGTCACCCGGCTCCGGAGGCCTCAGGTGAACCCTCTTTGGGATTAGGACCTCCTGTGATAGCCAGGTCCCCACCTTCCTGAATCCAAAGCCACCGAGCGGGAAATGTCCCCTTTCACAGTTGGGTCGGGGAGCGGGGGTGAATGCAGGTGTAGGCGACCCTAAGCACTAAGCACTCCGCTGGTACCGCCCCAGGCGCTCGGAGAAGGCAGCCCCTGGATGGACTGCGGGTCTGTGCGGGGCCTTTGGGAGTTTGGGGAAAGAGGGAAACTTTTTGCTCAAGGAACCAGCACTCCCTTTGCTTGTTTTACACCTTTGGGTTCTGCCTTGATTCTGCGTGGAAAGAGCTTCCTGCCTCAAGCGCTGAACGCCTCCTGCCTTAGGAACCCGGCCGGTCTGACGCAGATGTGGGAAACAGAGTAGGCAGTAATGGCTTCATCTGCCAGCAGCCCACAAGTATGTTCTGCTCCGCAAGTTTATGTCTCTCTGAGTGAGAGAAGCCGAGGCGGTGAGCACACTATCCCTAGGGCGGCAGCCATGGGAGCTGGGAGCTGATGGGAAAGTGGGTGGTGCCCAGGCCCTGCCCCAGGCCCCGCCCCGGGGTGGAGGCCCCGCTGCTCTAATGACAGCTCCTCCAGCGGAGCTGACGCAATGCCGGCCTCGGGCTCCGCGGGGCGAGGGCAAAGCCGAGAACAAAACAAGCTGCTGTTTAACTAGGCCGCTCAGGGCGGCTTTCCCGGGGCCGAGTGGGAGTTCAGCTCGGGGTGTGTGTGGGGTGGGGCCGCCCACACTGCAGTGTTGGGGGTGGGTATGGGCCGAGGCAGAAATGGAGAAGCGAGTTAGAATTGAGGAACCGCCGGCGCGGTCGGTAGTTACTGGTGGAGCGGGTGCGGGGAGGGGCCGTCCTCCCAGCGCCCATAGTCTGTGCGGCTCAGGGCGCAGCCACGCGGACTGTGGCGCACGTGCCAACCTAAGTCTAAGCGAGCGGGGTCCAGGGACTGAGCCCCACCGGGTGGGGTGCGCGGGGCAGAGCCGGAGTCGCCCTGGGCCGGTGGGCGGGGC